TTGTGGTATATCTTCTTTACCATTGTGTGGTTCTTAGATTCCTGTATCCAAAACTCAAAACAAAACTAGACATTAACTAAAACTAATTGAAAAGAAAAGATAAGAAAAACACCTTTCATGGGTTGCCTCCCATGCAGCGCTTGTTTAGAGTCATTAGCTTGACTGATAGGATCTCTTAGTTAGAGATGGGGTAAGGGCACGGCCTGAGACAAGTCTTTTGGTGCTTGTCTCATCGTGACCTTGAGTGTGGTCTGGTGGTTCTCTTGGGCGGCCTTGGGCAGTGATGAAGTAGGACAGCTTGTTTGGTGAGATGAATGGTATGGTCTTGTAAAAGACTGTCTTGTCAACATTGGCTAAGGAGATTCGCCTGTTTGGAAAGTCCATGACAGCTCCAGCAGTGGCCAAAAAGGGTCGGCCTAGTATCAATGGCGTATCACATCCTCCTTTGATGTTCATGACATGAAAATCCACCGGGATCTTGATATCTCCAATCTCTAGAAGAACATCAACAACAACTCCTCTTGGCTTGGCTATAGTATGGTTAGCAAGTCCAATACTAATTTGAGCAGGTTGTAAGCGTGTGATGCCAAGGAGTTTGGCGGTTTGGGTTGGCATGAGGTTTATGCAAGATCCAGAATCGCAAAGTGTTCTATCAAAGTAATGACCATTTATTTGAAGGTAGGCTGAACTTTAGCTTTCTCAAAAAGCTCTTTGATGTCCTGAGGTGTCTCTCTGCAGTTGTGGAAGAAGGTGGTGAATGGGTAGTGGCGCCAAGCTTGTTGGAATGACATGCTGGCTGGAAGAGTTTGGACAAACTGATTGAACTCAGCAAGCTTCTCTCTTGATATGGAATTGACATACCATTCAGGTGGTGGTGTGGATGGTGGAGATGATGGTTGATTGACTGCATGAGGGGCCATGGGAAATCGTGCCTTCTGAAAAAGTTTGTGTACTTCTTCTTTGGTTTCACCAGTTGTGAAAAAGAATTCCACTAGATCATGCTTTCCCAAGCTTCTTCAAAAGTGACATAGAATGGAGTGACTTCACCTTAGCATTGAACTCTTTAAGCTTCATGGGGCTTATCTTGTTTGGATCAATGGGATCATAGTGCCAAGTGTCTTCTTCTTCAGTAGATGGTGATGGTCTTTGCATCACTGCCAATCTTGGAAGTCCAGAGCTTGACTTCGTGGTGTTGGTGAGAAACGAGGATCAACAGGGCTAGGTGTATCCTTGCTCTGTTTTGGAGAAGCATTGATGTCGATGCTCTGCTCTTCATCTTCATCATTTAGTTGTTCCTCATACTCTCTTTCTTCTTCTTCATTGTCCTCATGGACTTGGTGATTGTTGCCTCTTCTTGTGATGGCATTGCAATGGAAGGGAGGGAGGTTGGGTGTTGGACTCCTCTCTCTCTCTTGTACTTGGAGTGAGATGATCCTTCAAGGGCTTGTAGGCGGTTGTAGATTGATCCAAGGTGCTTGCTATTGCCATAGCTAGTATCTTCAATTCTCATGCTCTTGTTAAGCAACTCTTGATATTTGGCAGCAACATCAAGTTTAACAGGTTTAGAGATCGATCATGGTCTTCTCTAAGCTTCTTAATGTCTTCATCAAGCTTGATCACTTGCTTGAATAGGACTTCAGATTTGTTTCCAAGACTCTCATGGATGAAATCGATTCTCCTCTCCATCTTCTTTGTACTCTCATCTTGTTCTTCAAGTGTCTTTGAAGTATCTCTTCAATCTTGGTTTGGCGCGCGGGTTGTGAACTCTCCTCAGCTAAAAGAGGTGTCTGATTTATGTCTGGTGATGATGGATGGTGTCGCGAATAGCTGGGGCGTGGTGGTGAAACATAAATCGGACCCTTAGCAAATCTGTAGGAAAGCTTCCTTGTACCTATCCAAGTCTTGAAAGCGTGTTGGGCGTTGAACTTAGCCCATTCCTTGGCTTGTCCAGCTAAAGATAGTTGGAAAAGTTGTATCTTCTTGGGGTTGTCTCCAAAACCATAGTAGTGGCAAAGCTGCTCAAAGTTGTATAGATGCTCCTTTGCACACTCTGAAGTAGAATTGTAGAATGGGTTTCTCTCCACATGCTTGATTAGCTCTTCATTCAAGACTTCAGGATGGGGTGGTATGCCTCCCCATTCTTCTTCTTCACGCTCTCTTTCCAGGTGATAAGAGTAGTGGTTGTACTTAGACTTGAAAGGTGGCAGCCTCACAAATCTCTTCAAGAATGCTTCTCTAAAACCGATCCATGACTCGATTGTAGAAACCGGCTCATGCTGCGCCCAATCTAGTGCTGGTCCAGCTAAAGAAGTGCTGAATAGCATCATCTTCTTCTCAACCTATAAGTAAATCAACTTTCGCAGTCTAAAAGAGGTTGCCCACCAAATACTAGTTCAGGCGAATGATACAGCACTTTCGAGGCTCAAATCAACCTAAGATCATATGCTAATTGGCCAGATTAACAACAAACATTAGGTATAAGCAAAGATGAAGATTATCAGTAAAACCCTAATTGTGATCGATCATCAAGCATACATGAATGCTATCCTTTGACTTCCTATCACTTAACAAGTAAACTACTCAGACATAGAGAAGGAACACAAATTCATATTCATAAGAACAGAGATTCGAATCCTCTCTAGAAAGAGAACAAGCAAGAACAAAGTAAAAGCAAGCAAAACTTTATTAAAGATGTAAAATAGTTGTGGTCTGTCTCTTTCTTTTATTACAAGGCTAAAAAGAAGTATTTATAATGCACTAAGTATGGAAAAGCGGCTAGACCTAATCTTGATAAGTCGGCGCCGACTTTGGGCTTGAATTGTGCAAATCGGGCTTCAAAAACAGCTTTGGGTCGACCGCGGCATTCGAACTGTCGGTCGGGACGATCGGCCGGTCTATCAGGTCATGGCCGCTATCGGAACGGTCGTGGCCGATGGGTTTCGTGGTCGGCCGCTGTGGTCGGCCGGATGAAGGACTTGGCCGATGTTTCTTGGCCGAACGTGGGGCGCGGCTTTCCTGATTGGGCGGCGCGATCGGTCGTGGTACGTGAGACAAGTCGCACGGCCGCGAGGCGTTGCTTCCCGGCTCGCGCGGCATGATCGTGCTCGGCATTGGTTAGACGATTGTGACTTGGCCGACCGTGGGACATTGCTTCCCGGATCCCGAGGTTTGGACGGATGGTTTGGACTTTGGCCGACCGCGGAACATTCGTTCTTCGGCCGGCCGTTCTGCACGGCTTGGCCGCGGTTTCTCGAAAAAGCCGCCTGGACCAGTCTTCGCTATTTTGGCTATAACTCCTTTTCTACTCATCCAAATGAGGCCGCTCCACTTGCATTGGAAAGTTAACTCAATCAGAGCACGCAGGGAACTGGTCTTGATGAAATCCATTGAGTAGATCTTTTTTAGCTCCTTCCAAAGTTGATGCAGTGGCATTGAACTGGTTTGAAAGCCAAATCCTCTGTTTTGCTCCATAATGCACATTTTTACCTAAAATGACTATTTGCAGTATAAATCCATAAAAACTAACTTTTAACACAAGAATCCACTAGAAAACCATTAGAAAACCATAGTGAAATAGCATAAAAAGCATGTAAAATAGATATATATCACTTATTCCCGTTTTAGCAAAGGAATTAAACTGTCGAACAAAGGGAGCACAATGTCCTCCAAACGTGCGGGCACGCCTATCGCCTTCTATCTTGTACTCGTTATCCCGAGCATATTCCATCGCTTCAAAGATTGTCTCTAGGCGAAGATATTCTACCTCTTTTCGCAATGTATCAGTTAGACATGCACAAAATTGCCACAATTGTTGGTCGCCAGTAAGTCTAGTCTGTCGAGCAAGACAATCTTCGAATTGGGAGCAATAATCGTCCACAGTTCCTATATTGACTGCATCAGCTTTCCCAAATCGATTCTTGCAGATTTTTTTTAAATTCTGCCCATCCCAAACGATGAGTGATAAGTCGACGCAAGTTGTACTTCCATTGGTATGCTTTTTCAGATAATACCAGAGTTGCCTGTCGAACCTTCACATCATCATCTCGAATTCTTTGATCATCTAAATAATCCTCACACTTTTGCAACCATTCGACAGCATTAGTTGTTCCGTCATACGGCGGGAACTCTATTTTTGCTGCTGATGCTAACCACCCTGGTTTGTAACCTTCAACTCCTGTTGTCCCTGATGTGTCCAGCTGAACGTTGTCAACAAGAGCTCCGATAGGCCTGACCGTTCAGTCACCTCCGCCGTCTTTACGGCGATGACCTCGCTCTGTTCCTACGAAACGCAGCGGCCAAGGACCACTGGAATTAGCAGATCGGCGCTCTCCGCCATGCACTCCATGACTGTCCGAGTCGCTGCTACCATCCTTAGTTGGTGATGTCACACCTGCCTCTTCTAACAAAGGACCCACTTTCGAGGTTTCTTTCGAAATCGGTGTTTTATCTTTCTCTTCACCGTTGTCACCATGTTTAGCAAGGACCTGTTGTTCAGACGAGAGAGAGGTACGCAACGCCAACTGCTCCTCGTGCAACTGTGTTAAAGTTTCTTTGGTCTGTTGATCGCGGAATCAGGTCTTCCCTTTTCCTATCCCTGATTCTGCAAGTGCACAGGTCAGAAGTAGTAAACGGGTATCGAACACGAGGACCAGATTGCACACTACAAGCTATAAGATTGAGATCGAGCTAGGGCAAACAATATGAGATTGGTTGAGTGCAGTGAAAGTAAAGGCATGCAAGTAATAAGAATTATTGAATTCAATAGGAGATGAGGGCTAAGCAATATGATAGTCTTAAGATAAGCAATTCATGAAGCAAGGATCAATCAGTTAGGGTTATTGCAATTAGGTGCCATCTAGAACTCGAAACACTATGGTATGATCTTTCCACTTTCGTGGCTCCGACCCGTTTGTTAATCTCCCTAGTCGCTAAACTTTTGGTATGTCCCTAGGTGATTAAATTAAGTATTAGTTCAATTTAAGTTCAATTGTTCACAACCTACAAGTAAATCAACTTTCGCAGTCTAAAAGAGGTTGCCCAAAATACTAGTTCAGGCGAATGATACAGCACTTTCGAGGCTCAAATCAACCTTAAATCATATGCTAATTGGCCAGATTAACAACAAGCATTAAGTATAAGCAAAGATGAAGATTATAAGTAAAACCCTAATTCATGTGATCAATCATCAAGCATACATGAATGCTATCCTTTGACTTCCTATCAGTCAACAAGTAAACTACTCAGACATAGAGAAGGAAAACGAATTCATATTCATAAGAACAGAGATTTGAATCCTCTCTAGAAAGAGAACAAGCAAGAACAAAGTAAAAGCAAGTAAAACTTTACTAAAGATGTAAAGTAAATTGTGGTCTCTCTCCTTCTTGAGTTACAAGGCTAAAAAGAAGTATTTATAATGTTATGAGTATAGAAAAGAGGCTAGACCTAAATCTAGTAAGTCGGCGCCGGTTTTGGGCTTGAAACGTGTGAAACGGGCTTCAGAAATGGCTTCGGGCTTCCTCCCAAAGTAGAAGCTGTGACAGTGGACTGGTTTGAAGTCCAAATCCTCTGTTTTGCTCCATAATGCACCTTTTTACCTAAAATGACTCTTTGCACTATAAATCCATAAAAACTACCTTTTAAGACAAGAATCCACTAGAAAACCATTAGAAAACCATAGTAAAATAGCATAAAAAGCATGTAAAATAGAGGTATATCAACTCCCCCAGACTTAGATCTTTGCTTGTCCCCAAGCAAAAAATCTAAACTAGTGAAGAGGTTTTGAAAACGTGGAACTCCCTTGCTCTTTGAAAATCCTGTGAAAGGTTCCTTTCCTGTATTCCACTAAGAACATAGTCAACATAAGGTTAGCTTCACATACACCCTGCAAGTTTAGCGAACAATACCAACCCAACTAGTCTCATCCAGCAATCCAAACTCTCTATTGCTAACCTCTTGCATAAATTTAAAGCGTGAGTTCTTTATCAAGGGAAATCGATCAATTGAACTTGTTCTTACCCACTTGATCTTCTCCAAGATTGTCTTTGAAGTGCAATGAGTTCTTTTCCTCTCTCTTTCTCACATCAGAACTTTGAAAGGTCAATTTCTCCCTACTTTTCTAGGGTATCATTTTATTTTTTCTATTGACCTTCTTTCAACCACAGGATAAGTCTTTAGCTTGTTCCTTGTTTGATAAGGTATTCCATAAGACATGAAGGTACAGACATATGCATTCCTCATGCTTACTTGTTTTCCTTGTGCTCTTTGAGCTTTTCTCATAAATTACTTACCATTTGGGATGGGAGAGAGAGGAGAACTCTTTAGACAAATCTCATTGAAAATCAAGCAAGGAACTGTCGACATGTATGCCAATCCCCTTGACAAGAGTTATTAAGATTGATTAAGGGTGAGGTTAACTCTAGATTGCTTGGTTACCTTAGAAATTTCGCTGAGCTAGCATGCGATCCACTGTAGGAGCTTCTGTTAGGCTTGTGCCTTCAGCTGATGTCTGCTCTAGGGTCATAGATTGTTAGCACAACACTATCAAATCTCAAAGCAAGTTCATAGTTCCGGACTGGTTTTGACTCAATAAAACAGAAGTTTTGAAAAAGTGGGTAAGGAAAAACCAATTATAAGATCAAAACAACCATGAACAAACACATTAGTACCGACAATCCCCCCAGACTTAACTTGCACCGTCCCGGTGAAAGAAAATCCAATTAAGGGAGTTAAAGAAAGAGGTAATAAAGTGGTTGTGAATGTAAAAAGAAAGATGTAACCTGATTTGGTTACTTGAAGAATGGTGAATGCAGTGGAATGATGGTAGTGATATGGAATGCAAGTGTGGTGAGGTGGGATGGGTGAGATGCAGATGGAATGAGATGGGATGGTGTGTTGGGCGGCTTGAGAGGACATGGGCGAGCGTGGAGAGGTTCTGCTCGGCCATCAAGTCGCGCCAACTATGAACATTCTTCTTGTGGTATATCTTCTTTACCATTGTGTGGTTCTTAGATTCCTGTATCCAAAACTCAAAACAAAACTAGACATTAACTAAAACTAATTGAAAAGAAAAGTAAAGAAAAACACCTTTCATGGGTTGCCTCCCATGCAGCGCTTCTTTTGAGTCATTAGCTTGACTGATAGGATCTCTTAGTTGGAGATGGGGTAAGGGCACGGCCTGAGACATAGTCTTTTAGTTCTTGTCTCATTGTGACCTTGAGTGTGGTCTGGTGGTTCTCTTGGGCGGCCTTGGGCAGTGATGAGGTAAGACAGCTTGTTTGGTGAGATGAATGGTATGGTCTTGTAAAAGACTGTCTTGTCAACATTGGCTAAGGACATTCGCCTGTTTGGAAGGTCCATGACAGCTCCAGCAGTGGCCAAAAAGGGTCGGCCTAGTATCAATGGTGTGTCACATCCTCCTTGATGTTCATGACATGAAAGTCCACCGGGATCTTGATATCTCCAATCTCTAGAAGAACATCAACAACAACTCCTCTTGGCTTGGCTATAGTATGGTTAGCAAGTCCAATACTAATTTGAGCAGGTTGCAAGCGTGTGATGCCAAGGAGTTTGGCGGTTTGGGTTGGCATGAGGTTTATGCAAGAGCCAGAATCGCATAGTGTTCTATCAAAGTAATGACCATTTACTTGACAGGGAATAGAGAATTGACCTGGGTCTTCAATCTTGTAGAGGGTCTTGAAGGTAGGCTGAACTTTAGCTTTCTCAAAAAGCTCTTTGATGTCCTGGGTGTCTCTCTGCAGTTGTGGAAGAAGGTGGTGAATGGGTAGTGGCGCCAAGCTTGTTTGGAAGACATGCTGGCTGGAAGAGTTTGGACAAACTGATTGAACTCAGCAAGCTTCTCTCTTGATATGGAATTGACATACCATTGGTGGTGGTGATGATGGTGGTGATGGTGGTTGATTGACTGCATGAGGGGCAAGGGGAAATCGCCTTCTGAAAAAGTTGTGTACTCTTCTTTGTTTCACTAGTTGTGAAAAAGAACTCCACTAGATCATGTTTCCCAAGCTTCTTCAAAAGTGACATAGAATGGAAGTGATTTCACCTTAGCATTGAACTCTTTAAGCTTCATGGGGCTTATCTTGTTGGGATCAATGGGATCATATGCCAAGTATCTTCTTCTTCAGTAGGTGGTGATGGTCTTTGCATTGCTTCCAATCTTGGAAGTCAGAAGCTTGACTTCTGGTGGTGGTGAGAAACGAGGGTCAATAGGGCTAGGTGTATCCTTGCTCTGTTTTGGAGAAGCATTGATGTCGATGCTCTGCTCTTCATCTTCATCATTCAGTTGTTCCTCATACTCTCTTTCTTCTTCTTCATTGTCCTCATGGACTTGGTAGTTGCTTCTTCTTGTGATGGCATTGCAATAAAGGGAGGGTGGTTGGGTGTTGGACTCCTCTCTCTCTTGTACTTGGCATGAGATGATCCTTCAAGGGCTTGTAGGCGGTTGTAGATCGATCCAAGATGCTTGCTATTGCCATAGCTAGTATCTTCAATTCTCATGCTCTTGTTCAGCAACTCTTGATATTTGGAGCAACATCAAGCTTAACTAGGGTTAGAGATCGATCATGATCCTCTCTTAACTTCTTAATGTCTTCATCAAGCTTGATCACTTGCTTGAATAGGACTTCAGATTTGTTTCCAAGACTCTCATGGATGAAATCGATTCTCTCTCCATCTTCTTTGTACTCTCATCTTGATTTCTCAAGTACTCTTGAAGCATCTTCAATCTTGGTTTGGCGCGCAGCTTGAGCTCTCCTTGGGAAAAGTGGTGTCTTGTTTATGTCTGGTGATGATGGATGGTGTTGTGAATAGCTTGGGCGTGGTGGTGGAACATAAATCGGACCTTTGCAAATCTGTAAGGAAAGCTTCCTTTGTATCCATTCCAAGTCTTGAAAGCATGTTGGGCATTGAACTTAGCCCATTCTTTGGCTTGTCCAGCTAGTGATAGTTGGAAAAGTTGTATCTTCTTGGGGTTGTCTCCAAGTCCATAGTAGTGCAAAGCTGCTCAAAGTTGCATAGATGCTCCTTTGCACACTCTGAAGTAGAATTGTAGAAAGGATTCTCTCCACATGCTTGATTAGCTCTTCATTCAGACTTCAGGATGGGGTGGTATGCCTCCCCATTCTTCTTCATCACGCTCTCTCTCCAGCTGATGAGAGTAGTGGTTGTACTTGGATTTGAAAGGTGGTCCTTGCAAATCTCTTCAAGAAAGCTTCTCTAAAATCGATCCATGACTCGATTGTAGAGTGGTTCATGCTGCGCCCAATCTAGTGCTGGTCCAGCTAGTGATGTGCTGAATAGCATCATCTTCTTCTCAAAGTCAAAAACTCCATAGGAATCACAAAGATTGTCAAAGTGATCTATGTGCTCCAGCATACTCTGAAAACAGATCATGGAATTGATCTCTCTTCACGAACTCGATCAGCTCAGGGTCAATCTCCTCTTCTGGTGTGGCTAGAAGGTGTTCTTCTCTGTAGATGCGGCTTGGCTAGACGTCTCCAGGTCGGCTGCTTCAAGGTAGGGAAGAAGTTTCTTCTTGTCTTCAAGGGAGATAGTCTTGGAGGACTATCCCAAGAAGGTGGTGGTGCTTGAGGGCTTGACATCTCTTGTTCGTCAAGAGGTCTCTTTGAGGTGGTATGTGGCGAAGTGGATCGCCTTTATAGGGAAGGACTTGTGAATCCTTCTCCATATCTAACTAGGAAAACCTGAAAAAGCTCAAAAACAAAAAGGAAAAACAAATCAAAGAAAAAGGAAAAATAACAAAAAAAAAACTAAAAAGGAAAAGAAAAACCCTAGACTAGCTCTCTTGCAAGAGCTTGTAGGTGCGAATTGGTCCCCGGCAACGGCGCCAAAAACTTGATCGCGGGATCAGGTCTTCCCCTTTCCTATCCCTGATTCTGCAAGTGCACAGGTCAGAAGTAGTAAACGGGTATCGAACACGAGGACCAGATTGCACACTACAACTATGAGATTGAGATCGAGCTAGGGCAAAAGTATAAGTTGGTTGAGTGCAGAAAAGTAAAGGCATGCAAGTAATAAGAAAGTGAATCAATAGGAGAGAGGGCTAAGCAATAGGATAGTCTTAAGATAAGCAATTCATGAAGCAAGAAATCAATCAATTAGGGTTACTGCAATTAGGTGCCAATCTAGAACTTGAAACACTATGGTATGATCATTCCACTGTCGAGGCTCCGACCCCTTTGTTAATCTACCTAGTCGCTAAACTTTTGGTATGTCCCTAGGTGATTAAATCAAGCATTAGTTCGATTAAGTTCAATTGTTCACAACCTACAAGTAAATCAACTTTCGCAGTCTAAAAGAGATTGCCCACCAAATACTAGTTCAGGCGAATGATACAGCACTTCGAGGCTCAAATCAACCTAAAGCATATGCTAATTGGCCAGATTAACAACAAGCATTAAGTATAAGCAAAGATGGAGATTATAAGTAAAACCCTAATTGTGATCAATCATCAAGCATACATGAATGCTATCCTTTGACTTCCTATCACTTAACAAGTAAACTACTCAGACATAGAGAAGGAAACGAATTCATATTCATAAGAACAGAGATTCGAATCCTCTCTAGAAAGAGAACAAGCAAGAACAAAGTAAAAGCAAGCAAAACTTTATTAAAGATGTAAAATAGTTGTGGTCTCTCTCCTTCTTGAGTTACAAGGCTAAAAAGAAGTATTTATAATGCACTAAGTATGAAAAGCGGCTAGACCTAATCTTGCTAGTCGGCGCCGGCTTTGGGCTTGAATTGTGCGGATTGGGCTTCAAAAACGGCTTCGGGTCGACCGCGGCGTTCGGACGGTCGGTCGGGACGATCGGCCGGACATCGGGTCTGGCCGATCGGAACGGTCGTGGCCGGATGTTTCGGTCGGCCGGCTGTGGTCGGCGGATGAAGATTGGCCGATGTTTCTCGGCCGGACGTGGGCGGCTTTCCCGGTCGGACGGCGCATCGGCCGTGGTACGTGAGAAGTCGCGGCCGCGAGGCGTTGCTTCCCGGCTCGCGCGGCATGGTCGTGCGCGGCATTGGTGACGTTGTGCTTGGCCGACCGCGGGACATTGTTTCCCGGATCGAGGTTTGGACGGATGGTTTGGACTTTGGCCGACCGCGGAACATTCGTTCCTCGGCCGGCCGTTCTGCACGGCTTGGCCGCGGTTCTCGATAAGCCGTCTGGACAGTCTTCACTCTTTTGGCTATAACTCCTTTTCTACTCATCCAAATGAGGCCGTTCCACTTGCGTTGGAAAGTTAACTCAATCAGAGCACGCAGGGAACTGGTCTTGATGAAATCCATTGAGTAGATCTTTTTTAGCTCCATCCAAAGTTGATGCAGTGGCATTGAACTGGTTTGAAGTCCAAATCCTCTGTTTTGCTCCATAATGCACCTTTTTACCTAAAATGACTCTTTGCAGTATAAATCCATAAAAACTACCTTTTAACACAAGAATCCACTAGAAAACCATTAGAAAACCATAGTAAAATAGCATAAAAAGCATGTAAAATAGATATATATCACTTATTCCCGTTTTAGCAGAGGAATTAAACTGTCGAACAAAGGGAGCACAATGTCCTCCAAACGTGCGGGCACGCCTATCGCCTTCTATCTTGTACTCGTTATCCCGAGCATATTCCATCGCTTCAAAGATTGTCTCTAGGCGAAGATATTATACCTCTTTTCGCAATGTATCAGTTAAACATGCACAAAATTGCCACAATTGTTGGTCGCCAGTAAGTCTAGTCTGTCGAGCAAGACAATCTTCGAATTGGGAGCAATAATCGTCCACAGTTCCTATATTGACTGCATCAGCTTTCCCAAATCGACTCTTGCAGATTTTTTTTAAATTCTGCCCATCCCAAACGATGAGTGATAAGTCGACGCAAGTTGTACTTCCATTGGTATGCTTTTTCAGATAATACCAGAGTTGCCTGTCGAACCTTCACATCATCATCTCGAATTCTTTGATCATCTAAATAATCCTCACACTTTTGCAACCATTCGACAGCATTAGTTGTTCCGTCATACGGCGGGAACTCTATTTTTGCTGCTGATGCTAACCACCCTGGTTTGTAACCTTCAACTCCTGTTTTCCCTGATGTGTCCAGCTGAACGTTGTCAACAAGAGCTCCGATAGGCCTGACCGTTCAGTCACCTCCGCCGTGTTTACGGCGATGACCTCGCTCTGTTCCTACGAAACGCAAGTAAAACTTTATTAAAGATGTAAAGTAAATTGTGGTCTCTCTCATTCTTGAGTTACAAGGCTAAAAATAAGTATTTATAATGCTATGAGTATAGAAAAGAGGCTAGACCTAAGTCTAGTAAGTCGGCGCCGGTTTTGGGCTTGAAACGTGTGAAACGGGTCGACCGGACCGTTCGGACGGTCGGTCAGGACGTTCGGCCGGTCGTCAGGTCTGGTCGGCTATCGGTACGGTCGGAATGATCGTGGCCGAGAGTTTTCGTGTTCGGCCGATGGGGTCGGACGGATGGATGATTTTTTGTCGATGAATCTTGGCCGGTCGCGAGGCGAAGCCTTCCTGGTCGGACGGATGGATCGGCCGCGGTACATGAGATGTGCCGCGCGGCCGCGAAGCGTTGCCTTCCTGTTCGCGCGGTATGGTCGCGCGCAGCTTCGGGCGTGTGAAATTGGTTTGGCCGACCGCGGGATGATGCCTCCCGGGTCGGTACGTCAGCTCGGCCGTGGACATGGCAGGACGCGGACGATGTCCGCGGGACGATCGCGGTACGTTCGTTCCTCGATCGGCCAGTGTGCGCGGCTCAGGATGCAAATGCTCGATAAGGCCGTCTGGACCAGTCTTCACTAATTTGATCATAACTTGACTTCTACTCATCCAAATGATGTCAATCCAATTGCGTTGGAGAATTAACTCACTCAGAGCACCCGGGGAACTGGTCTTGATGAAATCCATTTAGTAGATATTTTTTTTAGCTCCTCCCAAAGTAGAAGCTGTGACAGTGGACTGGTTTGAAGTCCAAATCCTCTGATTTGCTCCATAATGCACCTTTTTACCTAAAATGTGATGCGCCCCTCAACTAGATCGTGATTGAAGTTAAGTGGATTGATGGATCGGATCACAAAGAAACCGTGATAGATGGTTGAACGAATGGAAAGGTAACTCGAATGGCTATAATAGAGATCCAGCGGAAGAGATCTCTAACACCGCCTCCAACGTGTTGATATTACACACAACAAGTGAGAGGAAATCTGTAGACTTAGTTGATATTACGCACAACAAGTGAACAGAGAATGATCAAACAAAAAGAGAGGTTTTGATAATAGATTGATTGATAAGTTTCAAAGAGAGAAAGGACTAGGGTTTTAAAGGAAAAACGAGAGAGAGAGAGAGAGAAGATGATTGGAACAGGCTCCAATCATCTAGAGAACACACAAAACATAATGAAACAAGACTAGAAAAACGACCCCTCGGCTTCTGGCGCCTCCATTTGAATCTCTCTTGGGCCGGACCTTCACAAATGAGAAAAGAGAGATTTGGAAGTGTGACTTGGGCCTCGTTAAAAACCTTGTCAAGAAAACCCAAAGGGACAAAACTTGACAAGGGAAAAAGAGCACACCAACACACTTGTCTCTTTATCCCATAAGGCCTTCAAGCAAACCAGAGTAGTTGGCTTGGTTCTTGCTGACTCAAACAGCTAAGGACTTTGCCAATCGCTTGGTTTAGTGCCTTAGTTGTGAACGAGTGATCGGGCCAGTTGGAATGGCTAAACTCTCCTCAGGTACAAGCTGCTGCGGCTTCAAGTCCTTCCTCGGCCAAGCTGCTCCATTCCATCTTCTTCTTCCTCGGCCAAAGCTGCTCCTGAACCTCCTCATCCATGATCGCATCATCCCCTCCCTCTTGAAAAGGATTTGACCTCAAATCTGGTTCATCTGCAAGAAAAGGAGATAAGTCAGCAACATTAAAACTAGGACTGATATTGTACTTACCTTGGAGATCAACTCTATAAGAGTTGTTGTTGATTCGCTTGGTGACTGTGAAAGGGCCATCAATGCGCGGCATAGCTTGGACTTGCGCTCGGCTGGGAATCTTTCTTTGCGAAGATGAATCCAAACTTGATCTCCAGCCTTCAAAGATTAGTTCGCGCCGTCCCTTGTTGGCCTTCTCATACTGCCTTGTCTTTTCCTCAATGTTCTTCTTTGCCTGCTCATGTATCTTCTTCACTCTCAGCTCTCTTCTGTCCATCTGCACTCAATCTCTTCACTCAAAGGCAGAGGCATTAAATCCAAAGGTGACAGGGGTTTAAACCCATAAACAATTTCAAAAGGAGAGAACTTAGATGCTGAATGCACAGAATGATTATAAGCAAATTCTATATGAGGCAAGCAATCATCCCAATTCTTAAGATTCTTTTTAAGCAGCACACGCAACAAGGTTCCTAAAGTCCGGTTTACAACCTCAGTTTGACCATCAGTTTGGGGATGACAAGTGGTGGAAAATAAAAGCTTAGTCCCTAACTTAGACCACAAGGTTTTCCAAAAGTAACTAAGGAACTTAGTATCACGATCAGAAACAATGGTGCGCGGCATGCCATGCAATCTAATGACATCTTTAAAGAACAATGCAGCAACATGAGATGCATCATCAGTTTTATTGCATGCAACAAAATGAGCCATCTTAGAAAATCTATCCACAATCACAAAAATGGAATCCTTTCCATGTCTAGTTCTGGGTAAACCAAGAACAAAGTCCATGGAAACATCAGTCCAAGGTTGTGATGGAATAGGGAGAGGAGTATACAAACCGTGGGGTTGGACCTTGGATTTGGCCAACTTACAAGTGGTGCAGCGAGCACATATGCGCTCCACATCTCTAATCATATGTGGCCAATGGAAATGATCTCTCATGATCTGTATGGTCTTGGCAACTCCAAAATGTCCCATAAGTCCTCCTCCATGTGCTTCCCTGACAAACAAGTCCCTCAAAGAACAATTAGGCACACAAAGGCGGTTCTCATAAAAGAGAAACCCATCCTGTCTCACATATCGACCAGAAGCAAACTTAGAACAAGCTTGATAAATATCAGAAAAATCAGCATCAGAAGCATATAGTTCTTTAATTTGCTCAAAGCCTAAGAGTTTGGCATCAAGAGTAGAGAGAAGTGTATACCGTCTAGACAATGCGTCGGCCACGACATTGTCCTTACCTTTCTTGTACTTGATCACATAGGGAAAGGTTTCTATGAACTCGGCCCAGCGAGCATGCCTCTTGTTGAGCTTCTGTTGGCCTTTGAAGTGCTTGAGCGATTCATGATCAGGTATGAATAACAAACTCCTTGGGCCATAAGTAATGCTGCCAAGTTTGCAAAGGCTCGGACCAGCGCATAGAGCTCCTTATCATAGGTTGGATAATTGAGAGTGGCTCCTCCAAGTTTCTCACTGAAGTAGGCAATCGGCTTCTTGTCTTGCATGAGAACAGCTCCTATTCCGATTCCTGAGGCATCACACTCAATTTCAAAAGTTTTAAGAAAGTCAGGCAACATAAGAACAGGTGCATTAGTAAGTCGATCCTTAAGAGTCTGAAATGCTTCCTCCTGTGCCTTCTCCCACTTTGAACCAACTTCCTTCTTGATAATCTCAGTCATTGGCGCGGCTATGGTGCTAAAATCCTTAACAAACCGCCGATAGAATCCGGCCAAGCCATGAAAGCTTCTGACCTCTCCAACGGTCTTAGGACTAGGCCAATCCCGGATAGCTGCGACCTTCTCTTCATCAACCTGTACGCCATCTGCACTCACCACAAAACCTAGAAACACAACGTTATGTACAAAAGGTGCATTTCTTAAAGTTGGCGAACAGTTTCTCCTCCCTAAGGACTTTCATGACCGCGGCAAGATGCTTAAGATGATCATCAAAGGTCCTGCTATAGATCAGGATATCATCAAAATAAACAACCACAAAATGACCAATGAAAGACCTAAGGACATGATTCATCAACCGCATGAAAGTACTTGGCGCATTGGTCAAGCCAAATGGCATCACAAGCCACTCATATAGACCATGCTTGGTTTTAAAGCGGTTTTCCACTCATCACCTTCCTTCATCCGGATTTGGTGATAACCACTCTTAAGATCAATTTTAGAGAAAGATGCAAGAGCCATGTAACTCATCTAACATGTCATCAAGTCTAGGGATAGGGTGTCGATACTTTACAGTGATGTTATTGATGGCGCGGCAGTCGACACACATTCTCCAGCTTCCATCCTTCTTAGGACAAGAAGAACAGGAACAGCACAGGGCTCATGCTCTCTCTAATGTGGCCTTTCTCCATGAGTTCATCCACTTGGCGCTGAAGCTCCTTGGTCTCAACCGGATTGGTTCTGTAAGCCGGCCTGTTTGGTAAAGTGGAGCCGGGGACAAAGTCAATCTGGTGCTCAATACCTCGGACAGGAGGCAAGCCTGGTGGACTATCCTCAGGAAAGACATCACTAAAGTCCTGCAAAAGTTGAGCTAGTTCACTCGGAATCTCCGGTGGAGTATGAGTCAAGCCAATCAAGTGTTCCTTATATATAAATAAGAGAAAAGGTTTGTTTAAGTTCAAGGAACGTTTAACCTGTTTTGGCTTCACCAGGAAGTTCTTTGGCTTAGGCGGCTTAGGTGACTTCTTCCTTTCCAGCGAGTTGTAACTGATCTTCATAGACTTCTTGTGGACTCAAAGGAATCAAAGTGGTTTTACGGCCCTCATGAAGAAGAGTGTAGCGGTTTGTGAATCCATCATGGATCACACGCCTATCAGATTGCCAAGGCCGCCCTAAGATGATGTGACCGGCGTCCATGGGCAGAATGTCACAAAGGATCTCATCCTTGTAGTTGCCAATGGACAAGGGCACAACCACTTGGTTCTTGACACTCATCTCTCCAGTTTCATTCAGCCAGTTAAGCTTGATAAGGCCGTGGATGCTTCTTGGTAATGAGACCCAACTTCTCAACCATAGTCTCACTCGCCACATTGGTACAGCTTCCTCCATCGATGATCAAGCTGCACACCTTGTCTTGACTAAGCATCGCGTGTGAAAGAGGTTCTCGCGCTGCTCATCTTTATCGTCCTGACTTGAGTACTCAAGACACGTCTGGCCACCAAAAGTTTGCCTTGGACAGGCACGGCTTCATACTCCTCAGGCTCTTCCTCCTTCTCTGGCTCAGGATCCTCCTCGGACTCAATCTCTCCATTGTCGCGGATGATCATCACTTTCTTGTTCAAGCAGTCAGAGGCATAATGCCCAAACCCTTGACACCTAAAGCACTTGAGATCACGGGTTCTGGCTGGTGGAGTGCGCTCAGTCCGGCTCCTGTCTTGATTAGTAGCCAGAGGTTTCGTTTCTGACTTGGGCGCGAAAGGCTTAGAGTCGCGGTGAAGGTTGGTCGGCGCGGCTCTGTATTGAATCGAGTGGAGCTTCTCCTTTTAATTGTGTCTCGGCCAAGACAGCTTTGTGGAGCATTGACTCTATAGCCACACAGTTTTGCATCTCCACGATGTCTTGTATCTCACGGTTCAAACCTCCAAGGAATCGAGACATAGTGGCCTCATCAAATTCTCCACGGGTATGCCTCAGGGTTCTCTGCCTGTCAGATATCTTGGACTCCCCCTTTGTAGCAAAAATCTAAGCATCACAAATTGTGAGGTGCTCATCCAACAAGTCAAGACACGCTTAACTTCTTGGAGCTCAAAGTCGCTGTCGTTTGCAGGGCGTCTTGTGCTCATAAAAACAGTGATAGCGGGCATCTCCACCTTCTGGTGCTCATCCTTCATCCTGCCCAAAGCGTGCATCAAGAGAATTAACACAATGTGTAGTACATTCCTATGGAAGGGGAATTTGGATGGCCATCATACTGCTAGAGTCTCTTGGGAAACAGTTAAAAAGACTAAAGAAGCAGGAGGTTTAGGGATTAGGGACCTGATTACCTGGAACAAAGCCTGCTGTCTGAAACTGATATAGCTGCTATTCTTTCAATCTGGCTCGGTCTGGGTCGCTTGGTTTAAGGCTGGGATCCTTGATGGGAACTTGAGTAATTTCTGGACAGTTAAACCCAATCAGAGAAACACTTGGCTAGTCAATAAGCTGCTAAAGATGAGAGAAGACATCTACCCATGGATTAAACTGCGGATCGGGAATGGAGGGTCTTGCCGATTCTGGTCTGATAATTGGTCACCGTTTGGCAATATCAAAAACTATCTGCAAGAAAGTGAAAGCTCGAGACTAGGCATCAACATGACGGCTACACTAGCAAGCCTTCATCGCAGGAACCGATGGCGACTCCCGCCTGCAAGATCATACAACTTGGTAAGCCTTCATGCCCACTTAACCACTATATCTCTGACTAATGAGGCGGATTACTATGAATGGGAAATGGATGGACTAGTATCCAAGAAATATGGAACAGGAGAGGTTTATAGACAACTCAGAGGGGATATGGAAGTGGTACCTTGGGTCAAAGCTGTGTCGTGTGTAGGTGGAATCCCGAAACATAACTTTTTGGCTTGGCTCTTTACTCTGAACCGATGTCCAACTCGAGACAGGATCGCAGGCTGGGGATTGCAGACAGATGTGAATTGCCTTCTCTGCAATGTCGAATTGGAAAACAGAGACCATCTGCTCTTCGAGTGTGGGATGAGCTGGCGCATATCGACCTCGGTGGCGAGGAGATGTAACATAACGCCGCTTCGTTCGTTGTCTCAATCGCTTCAGCAGATGAATTCTCTCACATCTGGGAAGCTCTGGAAAAGACTAACGCTCATTGCATGGCAGTCTTCGATTTATTGGATCTGGTCTGAGAGAAATAGCAGGCTCCACCGTGGAGTCTTCACGCCGGACCACACAATCGTCTCCTCAATAGATCGACAGGTACGGAACCGGATCGCGAGTTACAGGGACACGAACACGGTGATCGCCTCCAGTCTCTAACAACTATGGATCTCTTCGGCACCGTAAATTGACTGTTTGATTCCCCCTTGGAACTATCGAACCTTCTTACTCCTCCTTTAATTGGGCTATTGGGCTAGCTCACTTTAGAATCTTAAGTACTTATCTACTAGCAATAGGCTTTGCTTCAAACACAATAGCCTGCTTGGCTTGTAAATTTTTTTTCTTCATGCTTTAAATATGAATGCCTTTGGTCAAAAAAAAAATATATATTTTGCAATTATTCAGTTTTGCCATATTGTTGAAATGATGGTCTTACAGTCTTAATTCTTTAATTTTTCGTTATTAGGATAACGAAAAAACTGAGTAATTTTGAAGTTTAATATAAGAACATGAAAAATGATACTTTTATGATTATTGGACTTAAATATTTCAGAACCGTTTTTGCTTTTAGATTTCACTAACGTTACTGATATCTATTTAAGCTTTTTTTTAAGAGCAGGTGTTCATGTTCGTTTGATTGAACGGTTACAGGAGTTCATACTGAGTTCATACCTTTTGTTTCCTGCGATTGAGTTGCATCTAGTTTTACACGTTGCACTTACTGTTTTTGTTTTGCAGGAGATTTTGGATTATCTCTGTTAATATTTTTCTGCAGTATATTGAGATATCGATCTAATGGTTTCTGAAATTTGCTTTAATTTCTGTGAACTGCTTTGTTTGATCGACTGTTTAGGAGTTTCTTTCTTTTGATCTCTGCAGTCATCTTCAACCTCCGTAGTAATGGTCTATTGGAAAATATTGTTTTTTTATTTGACTCAGTTCACCCGGTTAAAGTTCTGGTTTAATTTTGGTCATTTGACTATGATTGTTGTGAGTTATTCGGCAAAGTCTCGTATTGACTTTGTTTAAGAATTTCGTTGCTCATTTGTAGAACTTTAAACCTGAGCCGTGTTCAAATTTGGTTGTAAGCTTTATGTTGGCATAATTTATTGTTTTCCCAGAAGTGGTGATATTATAATAAGCAGTTTGCTGTTGTCATTTTCTGGAAAAATTACTTTGGATTGTTTTGCATGTACTCGCTAAGTACTTGACGTATCTTTGCATTGAAATTAGAGTATTAATTTCTGAATTTGTATATTCATTTGAAACTTTTAATATTTTGGTATATTGTTCAGGTTTGCTAGTATGCGAATCAGATGGAAAAAAATATATATATTAGCTTGAAAATGTTAAAAAAAAATTTTTATGGCAGTGGTAAGTTGACAACCCAATTTGGGAATGGTCTGCCACCTTAAACTGTGTTTGCTATGTGGATTGGAATTCTGATATGTATCGGAATATCCAAATTTTATTAATACCAAATTGTGGTTGAGGTTTTATGGTTACAAATCTAGTGAGCCGATGCACCAAATTCAGTTTGGTAGTGGTCTACCTCACATGATTATACCATATTCTGATGGTTATCAGATTGTTATGTCAGTACCTTGTACTTTAAGCATATAAACTAATGCAAGACAAGAAAAGTAACTCAAGGAGAATAGTATATGTTTTTCTCTTGAGAATACTAAGCATTTGAACTTAGTTCAATATTGAATCTTGATATATGCAATGTCTGATAAATTTCGCATGTGCCACCACTCTATCTATTTTGATGGAAGTGTATAGTTGCTAAGAAGCAAATATGTGAATTTGGAAGAAAAAAAAAGTACAAAGCATAGAAGATGGAAATTAAAATCCAACTAGGAAAAACTATGAAAAATAGTTTTATGTGGAGAAAAATGTGAGTTTTATGAGAATTAAATGTGTTCTTTTGAGAATATATTTATTCTTTGGAAGACTGCTCGTTGTTCACTTAAAATCTTATAGAGTTGCTGAATTAAAATTACTAGGGATTAGAGCCCCGCGCAAGCGCGGGGTTGTTCACGATAATTTTTATGTTTGATTTTATTTATATTCATTGATTTGAAAATTTGAATTATAATGGTTATATGTTAACTTCCATGTTTTGGGTATATTTTGAGTTAACCCAACATTTAATACTAACAATATGATCAATTTTTTTTTATTAATATATCAACACCTTATGTCATCTCGAGTTTTCTATTTCTAAAATTTAATGTGCATTTGACTCAACGTTAAAATTTGTAAACATGGTGTAGAATCGCAATTGCACTCAAAATATGATGAAAAACAAAAACACGTAACTTCTTACATATATGCTTTGTTGTGGTAGTATATGACAATTGATTATTTTCTGTTATGTTAGTTTTGTAAATATAAATTGTATTTTTGAAACAAATATGTCACCATTTTAAAAAATTTCAAACTTTTCGTTGCAATGAAATTTAAATAATAACTCGACTTCTATTTTTTCATAAAACAAACTGTAATTCTAATTTTTTATTAGCTTTTTACTATGTTAAATAATTTATTCTGTACCTTTTTTACTTGTAAGCACATTATCACATTTTTAAATATGATAAATCTTTTGAGTTAAAACCTAAATATATACTATTTCAAGTTAAATATTTATTTATTTCATCTTCATTTTATATTACAACTTTCTTTTAACTTTTAATATCAAGATATCACATACTTTATATTAATCAATTAAATTGTTTGTGTATTTTTCTTAGTTTTGTTTATGTGTAAAATAGGAATATATATAAAGAAATATTAATACACATATATTAAATATCTTAAATACAATTAATGATATTTTTTTCTGATGTGGATAGCCTAGGAGGAGAGAGCAACTCTCCTATTATATATAAGATGAACTCTTAAAAGATGATTTGCTAAGTGGCATGTTTTGAGTTATCTCAAGAAATGTGGGGAAAAAGCATTGCTTACCACATAAAGTTATTGGCAAAATGTCATTTTGTTTTTTGAAAAAGTAAAGTACATTTGTACAAATACCTAAAAGTGTGGAGGGGTGCATAGCAAAAACAGTGAACCAAAAACATGCAAGATCAATCAACTCATTTGGTTTCAAGGGTTTATGGGTTAAGAGACAAAGAGGGTCTCTTTTGTATGGTGGTTTAGTAACAGGGATCTCTCAAGAAAGTGGCTTTGCTTTGGCAGAAGGCTAAGTGTTAGAACCAAAGATGATGCAAGAACAGCAGCTCGAGCCGCCTAATCCTAACTCGATCGAGTTCAACACTTAGAGCTTTTTAGAACAAAATCCTAACTACCCTTTTTGGCATTTCGCCTTTGAAACTGAGGAGCTTTGCTCACTTTTCTTTTAAGAACTTCCTAGGGAGAGGCTTCTTGAGGTAACATCTAGCGGTTTGGGATTTTCTAAACACTTAGGGAACTTTTCTTTCCTTTTTGACACTTGAGGCTTTGCCTTCTTTTCATTCTACTTAGAACCCTTTTTACTTCCTTTTTTAACTTCCCAAACCTTTACTAGACCCTTTTACACTGCCAACTCCCTGGACTTAACTAAACTCTTTTTCCTTTGGATTTTCCCAACTTTTACCACTTTTCTGGTTTTTGACACCCAACTCGATCGAGCTCGAGTTGGCACCCCCAAACTTAGCCTGAAAACAATCCCAAGAGAACTAGACAACTAGAACTACTGCCCCTGCCGGTTTAAACACAACACCTTATGCTAAGCAAAGCCAAGAAAGGTTCTCACAATCGCACAAGAGATAAAATGGGGTTTGAAATGAAAAGGCTAGGTTGAAGGTGTGGCTTAGCAAAGATGTGCCTAAGGGCAGCATGGTCAGTGTGCACAATCACCTTGGACCCAACTATATAGCTTTGAAATTTCTCAAAGGCAAAGACGATGGCAAGGAGCTCCTTCTCTGTGGTTGCATATTTGCATTGAGCATCGTCCATAGTCTTGCTTGCATAGTAAATGACATTGAGTTTCTTGTCTATCTTTTGGCCAAGCACTGCTCCTACTGCATAATAAGATGCATCACACATAATCTCGAATGGGTAATCCCAGTTTGGAGCTTGAACTATTGGGGCAGATACCAGAGCATCCTTCAGCAAGGTCCAAGACTTGTGGCAAGGCTTCTCTTGATATTGGGCTTCTCAATGCCTAGCTAACCCTTTCCCAAGGTGGAAGCTATCAACCAAGGAATGATCTCAGAAACAGGGGGTTAGCCAGTGAGAATCAAACCTTGGAGGCCATAGGATCATTGCCCAAACTAATCCATCCAACCCCTATGAACTCCATTTCGAGAGCAAGAGTTATTGGAGCTCTTAGTGGATTTTTCCAGCGATTTCCATCACTTCCATGTGGAGAATCGCCTAATGGACATACAAGCCAGGGGTAGTGGTCATGTAGCCTTAAGATTTATCCAAAAGAGAGAGAATCTAGATTAAGACCATAAGCAAGAAGGATTAAGCATATGAAACCCTAATCTATCCCATCTCAAACCCTAATGGGTAACTACTCACTACACATGATGTAAACAACAAATGCATTGAAATAAACATCAAATGAAAGAGGAGATAAAGATAAACAACTTTTATTGAAATAAGCAAGTGCAAATACAAAAGAGATTATCCAGGATCTAGGATTCAAGAAGCAAGAGCTTCAAGAACACAAAGATGGGATTAGAGCTCTAAAAAGTAAAAGACAATAATTAAAAAGAAACTAAAACAAAAAGTAATCTAAAGCTTGGTGGTTTTTTCGTGGCTTTTAGCCTTTAAATACAAGAGGATTTAGGTTTAGGGTCAAAGAAAGTCAAGGGGGAAGCAACATTTTTCGGGTTTGACTTTGACTTCCAGCTCGATCGAGTTGAAGCTTGGCCGGTCGAGTTGAGGAACTCGACCGGTTGGTCGAGTAGATGGTCGAGCTGGTCTTCAAGATGGCTTCCTCCTTCTTCCTTTGCGTATCCAGTTGAGCTGCATGCCAAGTCCCTTCCATGCTCCTCACGTCCCATATGCTCCAGAATGCTCCAAAAGACCTATTTCAAAGGACCAAACATGCATATGTATGCAAATGCAACCTAAAACTACTATGAATGCATAAGAAGAGAAAAGGAACAAGATATGATGCTATGCAAAAGATGCATAAAAGATGCTAAAACTATGCAAAAGATGCATAAAAAGATGTACTAAAACCATG